AGGGACCCTCTGTCATGCTAGGGATCCATAGAGCTGCAACTTTGGTCGTGGAGTCTCCAGTCAGCACAAATATCGTGACATTCGTTACTTGATACTGAAGGACCCAGGCACGTATTTACCAGTGCCGTATAACTTACATCCTGTCCACATCATGGTAAAAGATAGGGACTTCCCTCTGATTGCAATGACATTGGATACAATGCTATGGAAGGATAACAGTAAAGCTCTTCAATCCCTGTAACCCAGTTATAAGAAAGAATAGTGCCTGAAATTCAGGGTGTCGGAAACAATATAATGAAAAATGAACGCAGCTGTACGATATTCCGTTCAAGGATGAGCGTGTGAACTTGTGGCACCTCGTCTAAGACTTGCCAGCCACGCACCATGGGAGCTTGTCCTTCTAGCCAGTCCCATTCTGCAGAGTTGTGGACGTAAAGCACAACCTAGGCATTTTTAACGATACCACAGCCAAAGACGAGAGCGCATTTCGAATAATCTGATACAAAGTGTTAGGTATAGTAGTGGGGTTACACCTCTCTGAAACCACAAGGAGCAAGAATTGACGGTCCGACACGCTAATCGAATGAATGAACACTACTCTCGATATACGTTTTTTTTTTTGCAATGGGCCTCCATCTCCGATGCTTCAATTTCAGCCACTGGACAATACACCGCTATGCACACATTCCACTATCGCCGCTCAAGGCGTAGGGTTTGTGTTCGCGGATCGCCTCAATATGCGCCTCAAAGTTATGAGAAGGACGAGAGCTTTGAAGTCGGAGTCGATGGGTACACAATCGGTTTTTTTGGCGTGATGTATGATAAGTTGGGCCGGCTCGCTGATGATGCGGCGGCGGCGGCCCCTACCCCCCCACCGCCCATGGCTTAGTTGGTCATGGCGTCCGACTGTTATCCCTCTCAAATCGGAAGATCGACAGTTCAAGTCTCTCTGGGACAGTAATCTGCGGCATGCCATTCATCTCATCTCAATACCTCCTCTTTTTTTTTTTCTTTTTTCAATCACAATGCCCAATCTACAAGTACATTCCCAACACTCACAATTGTACAACTATGTGTGCGTTAATCTCTTCTTAACACCCATTTTTTCTTTTTTTTTTTTCAATGCCCAATGCCCAATCTACAATTACATTCGCATTCACAACACTCACAATCGTACAACCAATCTACACCCTCCCCCCGCCATCAATGCTCCGTCTCCTCCCACGTCCTCCCAAC